TCAACAATTCAAAAAGTCGTCAAAATTGACCAAATGTGTTCTGAAATAAAAGACTTACCATTTTGGCCAATTTTTTTACCACTTTTTCATTGTTCCAAAAACCAACCAAATGTGCTCTAAAATGAAAGATATTAGTCTTAGGAAGCTAATTTTAGCATTTTAAGACAGTTTTTGAACAGTTCAAAAAGTCGTCAAAATTGACCAAATGTGTTCTAAAATGAAAGACTTATCGTTTTAGCCAATTTTGACCACTTTTTCATTGCTCCAAAAACGAACTAAATGTGCTCTAAAATGAAAGATATTAGTCTTAGGAAGCCATTTTTAGCATTTTAAGACAGTTTTTGAACCGTTCAAAAAGTCGTCAAAATTGACCAAATGTGCTCTAAAATGAGAGACTTACCATTTTGGCCAATTTTGACCACTTTTTCAATGTTCCAAAAACCAACCAAAAGTGCTCTAAAATGAAAGATATTCGTCTTAAAAAGCTATTTTTAGCATTTTAAGACAGTTTTTGAACAGTTCAAAAAGTCGTCAAAATTGACCAAATGTGTTCTAAAATGAAAGACTTATCGTTTTAGCCAATTTTGACCACTTTTTCATTGCTCCTAAAACGAACTAAATGTGCTCTAAAATGAAAGATTTTAGTCTTAGGAAGCTATTTTTAGCATTTTAAGACAGTTTTTGAACCGTTCAAAAAGTCGTCAAAATTGACCAAATGTGCTCTAAAATGAGAGACTTACCATTTTGGCCAATTTTGACCACTTTTTCAATGTTCCAAAAACCAACCAAAAGTGCTCTAAAATGAAAGATATTAGTCTTAGGAAGCAATTTTTAGCATTTTAAGACAGTTTTTTTAACCGTTCAAAAAGTCGTCAAAATTGAGCAAAATGGTAAGGGGTAAGCCTTACCATTTTGGTGAAAATTGACGTCTTTCTCAATGTTCCAAAAACCAAGAAAATATTCTCTAAAATGAAACATATGTGTCTTTTGAAGCCACTTTTAGCATTTTAAGACAGTTTTTGAACAGTTCAAAAAGTCGTCAAAATTGACCAAATGTTCTCTAAAATGAAAGACTTACTATTTTGGCCAATTTTGACCACTTTTTCTTTGTTCCAAAAACCAACCAAAAGTGCTCTAAAATGAAAGATATTAATCTTAGGAAGCCATTTTTAGCATTTTAAAACAGTTTTTGAACCGTTCAAAAAATCGTCAAAATTGAGCAAAATGGTAAGGGCTAGTAAAATAGTAATGCCTTACCATTTTGGCCAATTTTGACCACTTTTTCATTGTTCCAAAAACCAACCAAATGTGCTCTAAAAAGAGAGATATTGGTTTTTTGAAAACATTTTTAACATTTTAAGACAGTTTTTGAACAGTTCAAAAAGTCGTCAAAATTGAGCAAATTGGTAAGGGGTAAGCCTTACCATTTTGGTCAAAATTGTCGACTTTTTGAATGTTCAAAGAACCAACAAAATATGCTCTAAAGTGAAAGATATTGGACTTTTGAAGACATTTTTAGCGTTTTCAGACAATTTTTGAATCGTTCAAAAAGTCGTCAAATTGACCAATTGTGTTCTAAAATGAAAGACTTACGTTTTTGACCAATTTTGATCACTTTTTCATTCTTCCAAAAACCAACCAAATGTGCTCTAAAATGAAAGATATTAGTCTTTTGGAAGCTATTTTTAGCATTTTAAGACAGTTTTTGAACCGTTCAAAACGTCGTTAAATTGACCAAATGTGTTCTAAAATGAAAGACTTACCATTTTGGCCAATATTGACCACTTCTTCATTGTTCCAAAAACCAACTAAATGTGCTCTAAAATGAAAGATAATAGTCCTAAGAAGCAATTTTTAGCATTTTAAGACAGTTTTTGAACAATTCAAAAAGTCGTCAAAATTAAGCAAAATGGTAAGGGGTAAGCCTTACCATTTTAGTCAAAATTGACGCCTTTTTCAATGTTCCAAGAACCAACAAAATATGTTCTAAAATGAAAGATATTGGTCTTTTGAAGACATTTTTAGCATTTTAAGACAGTTTTTGAACCGTTCAAAAAGTCGTCAAAATTGACCAAATGTGCTCTAAAATGAAAGACTTACCATTTTGGCCAATTTTGATCACTTTTTCAATGTTCCAAAAACCAACCAAAAGTGCTCTAAAATGAAAGATATTAGTCTTAGGAAGCCATTTTTAGCATTTTAAGACCGTTTTTGAACAGTTCAAAAAGGTAAGGTTAAGCCTTACGATTTTGGTCAAAATTGACGTCTTTTTCAATGTTCCAAAAACCAACAAAATATGCTCTAAAATGAAAGATATTGGTCTTTTGAAGCCATTTTTAGCATTTTAAGACAGTTTTTGAATAGTTCAAAAAGTCGTCAAAATTGACCAAAATGGTAAGGGGTAAGCCTTACCATTTTGGCCAATTTTGACCACTTTTTCATTGTTCCAAAACCTACCAAATGTGCTCTAAAATGAAAGATATTAGTTTTAGGAAGCCATTTTTAGCATTTTAAGACAGTTTTTGAACAGTTCAAAAAGTCATCAAAATTGACCAAATGTGCACTGAAAAAGGGATGTTGCAAAACAATTTATAAAAGTCCTGCACTAAACTGACTTTTGTGGATAGTTTACGCCATAGTCTGGGCTGACATTACTTGAATTGTATGCGAAATTACTAAAGATTGGTTATATGTTGAGTGTCCTCCTTGGCCAGGCTGGTTTGGATACGAATCTACGTTATACCCTCTTCCCTGAGTATGTGACATCCCTCTGTTACCACGTCCCCTCGTTGATCCTCGCGTTGTGACTCGATTGCCCCCTCTACCCCGCTGTGCCCCTCGACCTAAATAAGAAAATTTCGTTAACAAAACGTTTTTCCACACGATTCAATTTACTTATGACATATGGAATGAAGTCTTTTATATTGACAGAGCAGTATCACATTGGTTTTAGTTGATATGCTGCTCATAAACATTACAAGTCAACAGACCATAAAACATCCATCAGAAGTGAATTGGAGAATGCCAATTTTAAAATTCGTATCTGAATAAAAATTTGTAGGAATATTTGCCGCAACCCACACCTAATTATGAGTTGCCACCTATTTTGAAATTTTACTGTAAACATAGTGACATACATGCATACTATACATAGAGTTCGTTTTATAAAAAATCTCAACAGACCTTGTGGTTGGTATTTCCGGAATTTTTTTTTTACTTCTTGTAGGCCTTCCTCTTGTTCCAAATTTCTCGCCAGCTCGAGCGGTATCGGAGTTATTTCAGAACGTTTCATCGTGTTTGAATCTAATCCCACGATCAAGTGAAGACGCTTAATTCTCTATGAAGACATTTCAATGTTAAAGATATTTCAATGTTGAAAGTTTTCAAAAGTTTGTTAAATTGCTGTTTTGCAACCAACCAACTGCATTACACTAATTTGTTCTTTGAAGTTTTGCATGGTGTTGTGAAATATTTACATGATGTTGTTAGTTTTGGACCATTTTGAGGTACTTTGAACCAAGTTTTAAAATTTCAAAAATTGACGAACATTAGGATTTTTCCTTTGGTCCCCCGTTACCGATTTGCCTGAAATTTTGAACTTTCTTAAAGTATGATTTTATGTGTTCAGATGTATTGTTTTCATGAAAGAATGCAATTGTAGTTAGTTTTGAACCATTTTGAGCCATTATCAATCGAACTTTGAAATTTCAAAAAATTGACGAAAATTAGGATTTTTCCTTTGGTCCCCCGTTGCCGATTTTGCCGAAATTTTGAAATTTAACAAAGTATGATATGTGTTCACATGTATTGTTTTCATGAAAAAATGAAATTTCAGGCAAATCGGTAACGGAGGACCAAAGGAAAAATCCTAATTTTCGTCAATTTTTTGAAATTTCAAAATTCGATTGATAATGGCTCGAAATGGTTGAAAGTAACTACAATTGCATTCTTTCATGAAAACAATACATTTGAACACATAAAATCATGCTTTGTTGAATTTCAAAATTTCAGGCAAATCGGTAACGGGGACCAAAGGAAAAATCCTAATTTTCGTCAACTTTTTGAAATTTCAAAGTTCGATTGATAATGCCTCGAAATGGTTCAAAAGTAAGTAGAATTGCATTCTTTTATGAAAACAATATATTTGAACACATAAAATCATACTTTGTTTAATTTCAAAATTTTAGGCAAATCGGCAACGGGGGACCAAAGGAAAAATCCTAATTTTCGTCAATTTTTTTGAAATATGAAAATTCGATTGATAATGGCTCGAAATGGTTCAAAACTAACTACAATTGCATTCTTTCATGAAAACAATATATTTGAACACATAAAATCATTTTCGTTTAATTTCAAAATTTCAGGCAAATCGGTAACGGGGGACCAAAGGAAAAATCCTAATTTTCGTCAATTTTTTGAAATTTGAAATTCGATTGATAATGGCTCGAAATGGTTCAAAACTAACTACAATTGCATTCTTTCATGAAAACAATATATTTGAACACATAAAATCATACTTTGTTTAATTTCAAAATTTCAGGCAAATCGGTAACGGGGGACCAAAGGAAAAATCCTAATTTTCGTCAATTTTTTGAAATTTGAAAATTCGATTGATAATGGCTCGAAATGGTTCAAAACTAACTACAATTGCATTCTTTCATGAAAACAATACATTTGAAGAAATAAAACCATACCACATAAAATCATACTTTGTATAATCATACATACGGGGGACCAAAGGAAAAATCCTAATTTTCGTTAATTTTTTGAAATTTCAAAATTCGGTTTAAATTGAGTCGAAATGGTTCAGAACTAAGAACAATTGCATTCTTTCACGAAAGGAATACATTTGAAAAAATAAAACCATACCTTCACGAATTTCAAAATTTCAGTGAAATTGTAAGCCATAAAAAAATGGCTTTGATTGTAGCAAAGTCGCCACTCTTGAATAATGAGGACTCCAAGCAAGCCAACTAATGTATGAACTAATGACGTTTCTACATATATTTCTTTGTTATTCCTCGGATGTGAAAGCTCTGAAGGCTTTTGCGAGAACCGTAGCAAACATGAGTCATTTGCATGAATATATCGATTTCTATGTTTACAAGTTTCTGGGAGTTGTTTTGCTTTGTGCTGGTTACAGTCGGTGGCAGAAATACTAACAAAGGTGATAGGTACAGAGTACTACTGAATAAAATATTTGTTATTGGGGGAATAGAGAGTCCCTCCTATGGATGTTGTATTTTTCTCATGTATGCAGCTAAATAAGATTTATAACCTAACGTTCAAAACGAAATACAGTTTATTTTACGTATATGGTGCTATGTAAAGGTTTTTTTAGATAATCCAATTTGGTCGCATCCAATAGACCTTTTCAGCTTGTATGCAAATTATTAAGTTTTATTGGCTATTCCATGGTCACAACATCTGAAATGTTTTAATTTGCATGCCAGCTGAACCGGTCTATTCACTTCTCAGTTGACTTATATATGGGCAGAAAATCAACTAAAGCCAACGTATTTATGATTTTGTGGCACTTCATGCACTTCACTCGAGTGTAGGTAGGATAGGGTGGATTTCCACTTTCGCAGAGGCACAGTTCGCTAGAGAAATTTTACATATTTCCTTTTTATTAGTTCAGCTTGAATGCTCTTATTCAAAAGAAAATATGCAAATATTTTGCTAGCGAACTATTATCAACTATGTCTGTGCAAGTGGAAATCCACCCAAAATGGTTTCTAAGTGGTTTATGGTCTACTATCAGTACTACGCTATCATTATCATTCACTTCACTAATTTCACTTCCCTTTTTGGCTAGACTTTGTTCACTATTTTTCATGCTGTAACTATCGTTTTATTGAAGTATAAAGGATCCCACAAGACAAAGTTGCCAATGTGATAGGACGAAAAGAACATCTCAATCCGAAATATATAGATCTCAAAAATATGCCGCACTCATACAGTTATAAACGGATTTTCATCAGACAATGAACTGTGAAGCTGTTCATATGATCCCGTTTAATTGGCCGCGATTTTGATTTTCATCTTGTTCTCACGGTTTCCATTCTGCCCACATTTGAGCAGAATGAGTAACCTGGAAACGAGGTTGATAATCATCCTGGTAGTGATGATCTTGTTTTGATGGTAGCAAGAACTAATGTCTTGTTTTGTTTCATAAAGACTTTCAATCACTGTTCGTTTAGTTTCAGGTAACCGGGCTCATGTAAGCAGCTGTACCCTTAATACTAATGCTGCTTTAATAACTTCATAAAAGACTTTTTATAGGATGAGCTATATTATTGCTCATTAACGATGTTTAAAATTAATTATGAAAATATCCTTTAAAAGGTGTTGCTTATTTTAAAATACGTGTTGTAAACGATCGTTGTGCTCCCTTGTGACCTTATGAACGATTCAGTTTCAAAAGAGATGTATAACCGGACAGATCATCATCATTATTCTCAAATAGCGGCCTTCTAAGTGGAAAATACTCGCCGTCCTTCACACCGACATCTTTCTTTCCTGTCGCACCGAGAGAAGGATACTCGTATTGATGGTTCGGGTGGATTTCAGGAGATTCGTATTTGGGGCTCCCTGGATTCTCGTACTCAGGACCTTGGGATTGCGCACACGATATTCTCTGGTTAGTGTTTTTATACAGGTATTCCTGTTCTGCTCTTGGTATAACATAAATTTCAGATTCTGTCGGAGATGCTTGGTTGTTGGAAAGGTTTTGCAACTCTTCAACAACCGGTGAAGAATTTTGATCTGCTATATAAAAACAACTATTTTTAATTTCCACTACTATTATAGCGAGTTAATATACTTGCTACCGTGAGAAAGGCTGTAGTAATTAATGGTTTACTTATAGCTTTTCATTTGCTACTTTTGAATGTAAAAACTTGCCATGACAGACACACTCCATGATTATTTGATATGAAGGAAATTCAGCAGAAGAATTTGTTAGGTACAAGTGCAACAAGAGAGACTTTAATCAAGACATTATAAAAACGAAACTCAACGACGTGAGCCAAACTGAAAACGTGATACCCAAAATATGACGCGTAAACTATAAATCCCGGGATCAACCGTGAAGGATAATTACCTGAATTTCCTCTTCTACTGTTTTTTACAAATCTATTTAAAGAAGAAAGAATATAGATTATAAGATCCATGACTATTTATTTTTAATAGTGAATTTGAGAGTGGTTCTTCCGAAGCTCAAACAGCTTTCAAATTTCTCTTTTATAACCGCAGAAAATACCACTGAAAAACATTTAAATTTACAACGAAGCTGTGTGGATCAAAACAGATATAATATACCAAATGTTTCGGATGGGTTTTTTGTAAACTGATAACGGTAGTAATGAACCCAACTCGACATCCTGCCCCATCATGCAATATATATATGTTATTTACCAGATTGGAGGTTTGTATAGGGAAATATTTCCCAAGGTCTCAAAAACAGCCCGAGGCCGAAGGACTGCTCGCGTAGCCAATTGGATTGCGGGAAACGTTAAAATATGAATTAGGACCGCGGAAAAAAAATAAATAGCTATAGCTATTGACTTCAATTATATGTAAGCACGTCTTGTTATCGCATTTTTCACGGCAGACCCAATTTTCACAGGCATGGCTCACTAGCTCTTACCGCTGGTTTCGAAGATTTAACGTTTGTTTTTCATTAATTACAATTGATTAACAACTTGTGATACTTCCTTGTGCATGCATGCATAGAGTGATAATTAGATACCTTTTTCGATAAAAGTAGGCCACAACAAACACCAGAACGATAATGAGCACAGAGACCAAGACCGTAATAACGATTGTGACCACTAAACTTTCTTCACTTTCTTTATGTTTTAATATCACTGTGGTGTCTGCCATTTTGTTGTTGTCGTGGTAATGTCACTGTGATGTCTGTTCTCTTCGATTTACGAAAAAGAAAACAGAATTGTAATCAGATTTAAACTGTATCTAAATATAAATAAATCTGCATGTAATATGCTTCGGAAAAT